AAAAAAAAAAAAAAAAAAAACTTAACATCTATGCGCAGGCCATTTCATATAGAAATCAAATCAAACACATCTAATTAAAATGCTTCCTCCGTCGCTCATAAACTCTTTCAGATCACAGATTTGCAATGGCCAGCCCGGATCTGAACACATGAATAAATGGCTCTTTGTGATCCGTTTAATGAGAGCCAGACAATAAGTGCTAGCGAGACAAACAAGCTAGCAAAGGTCCAAAGAACATAAACGGCTGTTAACTCCTTGGTGGGACGGGGGGAAATCACCGGCACTCAACTATTAGTAACACCTCAATTAAGATAAAGGTGTGTTATATAACGCCTGAGTGTAGCTCTGAGAACCGTTAGAGAAGAAGGCCTATGTTTTATTTGTGGGTAAACAGAGTTTGGCACTGGGAGGACAGCTAGTAAGTGTGAAAGGGGAACAAAGTGTGCGTGTGTGTGTGTGTGTGTGTGTGTGTGTGCTGCTGGGGGCTTAGTACGTAACCTCATTCCCAGAAATCTGCTACCCTGCAGTGTTTAGTTCAAAACACACCTGGTCCTAATATTCAGATGCTGCTTAAGGACTTAATTAACTGAAGTGTGCGTGCGTGTGTGTGTGCGTGTGTGTGCGTGCGTGTGTGTCTTAGATTAGGATTGGAATGAAATTCAGCAGGAAGATCTTCAGGAGTTGGGCATTCCTGGTTAAGCAGATTAGAAAAGATCAGAGTATCTGCACAGAGAGATCACTATACCACAGCTGGAGCCTTTTTTACACTGTAGCACACTACGTGCAAACAGCCTGCTTAAAAGTGCATTAAAAATTCTAATTCTTGACACATTAAAAGTTCACTTCCAGTGAGAAGACAAGATGTCAAGATCAAGGCTAATTAATGGCCAGAGAAAGAGTATGTTTTCATTTTGTACAGATTATATGAACCATTACTAGCCATTATACCGCTGTGCTGTTGAATTTCTGAATCTGAAGGAGTTGTTTAACTTTCTATTACAGCACAGCTCTTACTGTAGTTCCAGCTGTAAATTAAATAATCATTTTAGATATATTTATACACTCATTCGAATGCATCATTGTTTCCATAGTATTTACTAATTCACAGTAACTTGCATGGCAGACACTCTACACACCCTAAGGCTAGTAATAAACTGGTTTAAAACTGTCTTGTTATCTAACAAAACATATAAACATATAATTGCTGATATGTTGAATTGTTTTTGAGTTTTCAATAAGGAGACATTTCGTCAGCATTTATGGAGTCTCTGGTGTTAGCACTTTGTAACAGTCAGTAAGGTTTCTGTCATTGTAAAGTCATCAGGACAGAGGATTTAGCAATTTCTGGTTTCTCGGTAACAAGGTGGGTTTTTTTGGCATTATAGTAACTTCAAGAGAGAGAAAAAAAGAGAGGCTGGTGAGGAAAATATTGTCTTTGGAACGTTCTACAATATTAAACGTAACTATAAACAGTTAAAAATCATGGTGCGTTATTCATTAATACATTAAAAATTGTAATTGTTTGCAAAACAGTATGGAATAAGAGGAATAAAAAACTCTACAAAATTGTAGATTATACAAGTGGACAAGACGGCAGCTGGTTTTCAGATGTACACAAAGCAACGGTAAGAAAACAGTAAGAGTTAGCACGCTAACTAGAGTTACCATTAGCAAGGACTGTCATGCAGTAGCAATAAGCAATATTGCAATAAGCAGCTCCTCCATTTTTGAATGAACCAAGAGACAACGGTCGCATCTTCTTGCTTTCTTTTGGCTCACAAGACCAAAACGTGGAAATTCCCAGATCAAAGCTCACCTACATAAAATCGGCAGAAAGAAGTAAATGTGCGGCTTTCATATCCCGCATCTTTTCCCCTTCAGTGAACTGGCTTTTCTGGCGGACAAATTTTATTCACATTCTATTGCATATCAAACAGGTAAAGTGGTAATATATTCCACTGGTCACATTACAAGGAGGAAAAGCAGTCCTGTGAATGCCAAAACGAGTGCACAAGCTACACTGTAAAGTGTGCTAAATTCTATAACACTACATAATCTAAGACTTAAAATTAGATCCTAGTGATTTGCAAGACACCTTTACTTTTCACACCTTTGATTCTGAAGATCTCACACCCACAATAATAACACACTGAATAATGGAATAATATCTGAACGTTTATTTTTGCAGCCTTGATAAAAATAGTACCATACACTATTTTACCTCAGTCATGTGATAACCCAAAACCAGAATTCATTCCAGTACAACTGAAATACTAGAAATATCCAAGGAAAGATTACCTTTGATATAAGTTTAGCTAACTATACATGTACTATAATATAATCCATAATATTACATATTGCGATAATGAACACACACTTTAAAATGTCATCACTGCTCCTGTATTTCTTTTATAGATTTGCAAGACCACATCATGTGTCAATGAATTACTTTTAAAAATATTCATAGAAAAGTTGCAAAAACACACTACTCCTTCAAAGGCTAGTAAACTTAAAATGATTAGGTACAGTTTTAAATTACGGTCCTCTTATCTAATAATATTTACTGCATTAATTAGCATGAACCAGCAATAAACTTCAACTTTAATAAATCATAAGCAATATTAAGAAAGTAACAAAGTAAATTAACACATTAACTGATGTTCGTTTAAATATTACTATACCTATAAATACTCCTGCAGTGACTGTTGGGTCAATCCATGGCTGAAAATAAATCCACATAAATTAGCTACAAATTAAATGACACCATTTTCCTGAAGGTTTATAATTTACTGAACTCTGGGCTCCAGGTGTAAGTATTAAAACTTGCTTTTCAGCCTCAGTTCAAAATTTTGCCAGTAAACAACCAGAAATATACATTAAGGTGTTGTTTTATATTGGTCACTGTGGGCATAATTTTACTCAGTGATGGTATGAACTTTGGTTAATGCAGGCGTTGATTATTTGGCTTATTTTGTGTTAAATTAAATTGTGTTAAATTAGGGATTCTCAAACTATTTTAACTGTAAAATATTTGTTTTAATAAACGGATTTCCTTAATAGTCAATAGTCAATATTTTTTTAT